CTAATCAACTCCCATTGGCCCAGCCCCTTAAAGTCCCACCATCTCAACCTCAAATCTAGGGATAAAGTTTGTACCACATGACTCTTTTCTTTTTGTCAGTGGTGGGGCTTGAACTCAGGGCCTGGGTGCTGTCTCTGAACTCTTTTTGCTCAAGGCTAGCTCTCTACCACTTTGAGCCACAGTGCCACTTCTAGTATCCTGGTGGTTCATTGGAGATAAGAGGCTAATGGACTTTCCTGCCTGGGCTGGCTGTGATCCTCAGATCTCAGCCCCCTGAGTAGCTAGGAATACAGGCATGAGCCACCGGCTCACAACATCTGAAAATCTTTTTATTCTATTTTATAGGGAGAACACAAGGCCCTGAGTTCAACTTCCAGTGCCAGCACAAGAATAAATAAATAATAATAAATATATAAGCTGAAGAATTCTTCTACATGACACCAAAAGCACAGTGCATATAAAGATAATCACTGTGCGCTGGTGGCTCACGCCTGTAATCCTAGTTATTCAGGGGGCTAAGATCTGAGGATCGCAGTTCAAAGCCAGCTCAGGCAGGAATGTCCATTAGACTCTTATCTCCAATTAGCCACCAGAAAACCAGAAGTGGCACTGTGGCTTAAGTGGTAAAGTGCTCACCTTGAGCTGAAGAGCTGAGGGACAATGCCCAAGCCCAGAGCTCAAGACCCACTGCCAGCAAAAAAATGAAAAAGATAATCACCAGGAGAAGGAAGTTAAGCCTAACTAAAAATTTTCTTTTCTCTGTAAAAGACCCATATTAAAGATGGAAAGCCCAACTACAAATTAGAAAAGAGTACTTGTACATGCCTAATCATGGACTCCTGTCTGGAATATTGAAAGAATGCTCAATACTCAACAATTTCAAAACAACAACAACAAAAAGTCATTTAGAAAATGAGCAAAGGAGAGTAACACAAAATCATCAAGGAGGGCCAACACACAAACCTTTTCTGGAATCCTCACTACTCAGGAGGCTGAGATCTGAGGATCATGGCTAAAAGCCAGCCCAGGCAGAAAAGTCTGCAAGACTCTTATCTCCAATGAACCACCAAAAAGTCAAAAATGGAGCTGTGGTTCAAGTGGCAGAGTCCTATCCTTGAGCACAAAAACTCAGGTCCTGAGTTCAAGTCCCATGGCTGACAAAAAATTAAATCAAAATCAAAATCTGGGCTTGGGGGTGGTTCTGTGGGAACATACTTGCTTAAGCATGCATGAGCCCCTGGGTTTGATTCTTACCACAACAATAATAAAAAGAAGCAGGCGCTGGCTGGCATTTTCATAGCAAATGTGTAACAGCTCAGAACTGGGGATAATACAAAATATTTTAGTAAATATCTTCTGTAAGTAAATATTTTAATAGTATTAAAAAGGAATTAACTGTTGACACATGCAATCATTTGGATCAATACCAAAGACATAATGCTGAAGGAAAATATTCCAGTCTCAAAGGGATAATCCTGTTTGCATAATATTCTTTATTTTCTTTTTTTTGGTCCATCCTAGGGCTTGAATTCAGGTCCCTTTGCTCTCCTTTGGTGTTTTCTGCTCAAAGCTGGTACTCCTTTCACTTGAGCCATAGCTCCAATTCTGACTTTTTTTTTCTGGCTCATTGCAGATAAGAAGAGTCCCACAGACTTTGCTGCCCAGGCTGGCTTCCAACTCGATCCTCAGCTCTCAGCCTGTTGAAGAGCTAGGGTGGCAGGTGTGAGCTGCTAGCACCTGGCTGATAATATTCTTGAAATGACAACAAAAGTGGTGATAGCCAGAGATCGGGCATGCTGGGAAAGGCTCAGGTATGGTTGTGCAGCAAGAGAGAAGTCTGTGGTGGTGGGTCAGTCCTGTGTGTGGACTGCGGTGGTAGGGACTGGTTTAGGAGCAGGGATAATATTGCTGAACTAATGATGTGCCTGTTCCAGCTTGATGTGGCTCCACAGCTGTATAAGATACACACATCTGGAAAAAGGAAACAAAGGATCAACCTGATTTCTCCTGCACAATCTCTGTAGCTCCCAGCCAAGCAAACACTCACTTTTCAACACAACATCCACATTCCTATTGCACATCTTGGGGCTGCGTCTCGATTTCAGGGGGAAGAGTCTGAGACGCAGTTGAGCACCCTCCCGCAGGTTTGCTGATTGGAGAAAAGGTCCTGGTGACCGGCGCTGGCGGGCTGTACTCTGCCATTGCCTGGGCTCTCAGCCATTCAGAAGCAGACACAAAGGCATGGGAAGCCCATGTCATCCACAGGGGGGCCAGCAGCATGCAGGACCCCAGGCCATTGGCACAGAGAACAGCATCTTCCTGGACACAGGAAGGTGCTTTCATTGTGTGGAAATAAGTTAATGAGAAGTGCTCCCCACTGGCATACTGTCTCTCCTTCCCCCTTCCTTCTTCCCCTCCCTCCTTCCTTCCTTTCTCCATTTCCCTCAATATCTCTTCCTAGCTCTCCCTCTCCCTCTTTCTTTTCTTTCTTTCTTTTTCTTTGTTGGTCAGTCATGGGGCTTGAACTTTGGGCCTGGGCACTGTCCCTAAGCTCTTCAGCTCAAGGCAAGTGCTCTACCACTTGAGCCACCACACCACTTCCAGTTTTCTAATGGTTCATTGGAGAGAAGAGTCTCACAGACTTTCCTGCCCGGGCTGGCTTTGAACCCTGATTCTCAGATCTCAGCTTCCAGAATAGGTAGGATTACAGGCGTGAGCCACCGGTGCCCAGCCTCTCCCTCTTTCTCTACCTTTTTTTTTGGTCTTGGAGCTTGAACTCAAGGCTTTTACTCTACCATTTGAGCCACAGCTGCACTTCTGGCTTCTTCTGGGATTAATTGGAGATAAGAGTCTCACAGACTTTTCCTGCCCCAGCTGGCTTCATACCTGGATCCTCAGATCTCCTGAGTAGCTGGGATTACAGGCGTGAGCCACCAGTGCCTAGCTTTCTCTACCTTCTTTTTCATATCTCTCCCTTCGTCCCTCTCCTCCTTTTTCTCCCTCCCTCTTTATTTATCATCTATTTCCTTATCTCACCCTCCCCCCCTCAGGTTGAACTAAGGGCCTTGAACTTGTGAGGCTGGGGCTCTACCACGTGAGCCTTGCCCCAGACTTTTTTCCTTTAGTTTTTGAAGGTCTCACCTTAATGTTCTGCTCATCCTGGATTGGGAACTTCCTACTTATCCTTCCTCTGTAGTTTGGGTGACAGATATTCCCTGTCACACACACATTTTTTAGTTTGTTTTTTTTTGTTGTTGTTGTTGGTTGAACTCTGGGCCTGGGTGCTGTCCCTGAGCTCTTCAGCTCAAGGTAAGCCCTCTACCACTTGAACCACAGCGCCACTTCCAGTTTTCTAGTGGTTTATTGGAGATAAGAGTCTCACGAACTTTCCTGCCCGGGCTGGCTTTGAACCACAATCCTCAGATCTCAGCCTCCTGAGTATTTTTTAAGATTTGACAGGTCTTCTTCTGAACTTATTTTTTGAGGGGGAGAGGGGCTGGCCTCCAACTTCAATCCTCCTTACTCCCCCCCCCCCTCCTGATTCCCAGGATCATGGGCGTAAGCCACTATACCAGCTTATATACCATCTGTTAAACATTACGACTTTCCAACGCTCAAAGGATTTGAGCATTACAAGCCTTCAGGATGCTCCTATTGCAAGACTGAGGATTGGATCCCTTCATGAGACTTGCAGTGGATCACTCTGAGAGATTTGGAACTAAGAAATGGCTTGAACTCAGGAGAAACTAGCTGGGCCCTGAAGATGGACACACAGTGGGTTTGTGTCCTGGAGAGTCTTTCTGAGAAAGCCAAACTTATTTTTTTTTTCTTACCTTTTTCTTTTTTCTTTTTTTTCAGTGGGCCAGGGGGCTTGAATTGGGGTTCTGGGTGCTATTGCTGAGCTTTTTTGTTCAAGGCCAGTGCTCTACCACTGAGCCGCAGCACCACTTCCGGTTTTCTGGTGATCAATTGGAGATAAGAGTCTCACGGACTTTCCTGCCCGGGCTGGCTTTGAACCACAATCCTCAGATCTCAGCCTCCTGAGTATTTTTTAAGATTTGACAGGTCTTCTTCTGAACTTATTTTTTGAGGGGGAGAGGGGCTGGCCTCCAACTTCAATCCTCCTTACTCCCCCCCCCCCCTCCTGATTCCCAGGATCATGGGCGTAAGCCACTATACCAGCTTATATACCATCTGTTAAACATTACGACTTTCCAACGCTCAAAGGATTTGAGCATTACAAGCCTTCAGGATGCTCCTATTGCAAGACTGAGGATTGGATCCCTTCATGAGACTTGCAGTGGATCACTCTGAGAGATTTGGAACTAAGAAATGGCTTGAACTCAGGAGAAACTAGCTGGGCCCTGAAGATGGACACACAGTGGGTTTGTGTCCTGGAGAGTCTTTCTGAGAAAGCCAAACTTATTTTTTTCTTTTCTTACCTTTTTCTTTTTTCTTTTTTTTCAGTGGGCCAGGGGGCTTGAATTGGGGTTCTGGGTGCTATTGCTGAGCTTTTTTGTTCAAGGCCAGTGCTCTACCACTGAGCCGCAGTACCACTTCCGGTTTTCTGGTGATCAATTGGAGATAAGAGACTCACGGACTTTCCTGTCCAGGCTGGCTTTGAACTGTGATCCTCAGATCTCAACCTCCTGAGTAGCTAGGATGATAGGTGTGAGCCACCAGTGCACGGCTGAAGCCAGACTTTAGATCCTAACAAACTACTTCTTCCCTGTAGCTTCCAAGACTCCAGAGCATACAGAACGGGTCTTAAATCCAAATAGTAGGGGCTTCTTCCCCTGCAGCCCTCCCTCCTTGGCTACTTCGGTTTTCAGCTCAGAACCTAAGGAAGTCTGCGACCTGTCCAGCAGAGGGCGCCCGGCGTTCATTTTTTTAGAGTTCCTGTTTGGGTTGAGCCACCTTTAATCTGCTGCAGCTGAGGGCTGAGGGAAGGCCTCAGGCTGAGGAGCACTGGGGTCTTCTCCTCCATGCTTTCCCTCAGCTTATGAGGTTTGCTCTCTGTCTGCGGTGACACAGAGACCAGTGGCCGCCCCGCTGCCCAGAAGGAGAAGGCACTGTGGGAAAGGTGGGAGCCCGAAACTGGCCACACCCATGAAGAAGGAACCACTGACCCCACAAAATGGGAAACCTTCCATAACTGGACAGCTGATGTGATGGGGAGAAAGTTCCCAGTTGGGCAGGGCAGACTGATCTTACAACTTTTGTTGTTGTTGTTGTTTGTTTGTTTTTGGGTCTGCACTGGGGGTTTGAGCTCAAGGGCCTGAATTTCACACTTGCTTGGCTTTTTCAGCTCAAGGCTGGAGCTCAGCCATGTGAGTTATACCTCCACTTTTGACTTTTCCCCTTGGTCACTGGAGATAAGGGTTCTCACAGATTTTATTGCCTGGGCTGGCTTCAAAACAGGGTCCTTGCTGGGCATCGGTGGCTCACGCCTGTAATCCTAACTACTCAGGAGTCTGAGATCTGAGGATCGAGATTCAAAGCCAGCTGGGGCAGGAAAGTTTGTGAGATTCTTATCTCCAATAAACCACCAGAAAACCGGAAGTGGTGTTATGGCTCAAATGGTAGAGTGCTAGCCTTGAGCTGAAGAGCTGAGGGACAGCGCCTAGGCCCAGAGTTCAAGCCCTATGACCAGCAAAAACAAAAACAAAAACAGTGAGCCAGGCATCAGTCTCTCACACCTGTAATCCTAGCTTCTCAGGAGGCTAAGATCTGAGAATTACAATTTGAAGCCAGCCCGGGCAGAAAAGTCCCCATGAGATTCTAATCTCCAATTAACCACACAAAAACCACAAGTGGGGTTGTGGCTCAAAATGGTAGAGCACTAGCCTTGAGTAGAAATTGCTTAGGGACAGCGCCCAGGTCTGAGTTAAAGCTCCATGACCAACAAGAACAAAAACATAAAAAATGCCAGATGCCAGGCTCTCATACCTGTAATTTCAGCTACTCAGAAAGCTGAGATCTGAGGATGATAGTTTGAAGCCAACCCAGGCAGACAAATCCAAAGACATTTATCTCCAGTTAACCTGCAAAAAAGAAAAAAAGTGGGCCAGGTGCTGGTGGATCACACCTGTAACCCTAGGCTGAGATCTGAGGATTGTGGTTCAAAGCCAGCTGGGGCAGGAAAGTTTGTGAGACTCTTATCTCCAATAAACCACCAGAAAACTGGAAGTGGTGCTGTGACTCAAGTGGTAGAGCATTTGCCTTGAGCTGAAAAGCTCAGGGACAGCACCCAGGCCCAGAGTTCAAGACCCACATCAGACCAAAGACAAAAAATAAGTGGAAGTAGAGCTATGGCTGAAGTGGTATTGCACCACCCTTCAGCAAAAATACTAAAGTAAAAGCATGAAGTTCTGAGTTGAAGCCTTAATACTGGCACAAAGAAAACAAAACATAGACATATATACTACTTTGTGTTTTCTTTCCACTAAAACTCATACAGCCTAATGTAAAATAATCTTCTACTGAAATCCTTTTATGGCTATCATATGCTGGTACATACTTGAACTACTGTTCAGATGTAGATTTTAAAACTGCTTTACAACCTATCATTTTGGATACGCAGTCTTTCATTACATCCATTTACATCAAATGTCAAGTTGTTTTCTGAGGAACCCTGTGGTTTTGAAACAGGATGGACTAAGGGAAAATGAGGTACAGTCATCTTAAAGCCATTACAGGGGACATCCCTTCATGAACTTCCCTTAAGATTCCGGGAACAAAAGTCATTTAAAGGGGAATTAAAGCAGGTAACTTAGGGAAATTAAGGCCTGGTGAAGGCAATTCAGAAATATGGTATTTAGCAACATAGAAATGCCATCTTCGCTTTAAAGAGAAACAGCAGGAGGCATGCTTTCCTAAGAGAGTATCCCTCACCCCAAGAATTAACACTTGGTCTGGCACGATGTATGCCTTCCTGAGAAAAATGCTTCCCCAAACTTAAGCCACCTCCTACCCTAAAATGCAGATAGCAGGGTGCCTCTTTATCTCAAGGGTAAGGATCTGTTTTATGTCAGGATGCATTCTCACCTAGAAACTCAGAAAGTAACACCAAGTGTGATTAAAGCAAAGACAAAGCACCTATCTTTACATAACTTTGAAGCCAGACCCCCTGCCTTTACCTTATAAATACTCCAACAGCCAAGGAGCACTCTGTGTGTGTGTGTGTGTGTGTGTGTGTGTGTGTGTGTGTGTGTGTGTGTGTCTTCCTGTAAGAGCACCCACCCTGCGCTAGAGTGTGCCCTTGCCGTTCTGTGTTTGCTTTTGTCTGTCTGCTTGCCTGCTTGTTTACTTACGAAAGCTCCACCACAGTTTTATTACCGTTGTGACTTGTCCAGAAATTCTATTCTGCAATCAATGGAAGTCAAGGACCCAAAGTGAAGAGTTCCTACATTTAAAGGGAAACATCACTAAACCTTAGCTCTGTCCAGGGACAGTCTTTTAGGCATCACAACCCTTGGATCACACAGTTTTGGAACACACAGTCTTCTCAACTTCCACACGCAATTCCCTTGACGATTATTTCTTTGCTTTTATTGCAGATTGCTTCCATCGGAAGGCCACAATGTTTTATTTCCTTGAAGATTCACTGACTTCGGGGTAAATAGTATTGCTTATGCTTTTTTTCAGATGAGTACATGGATTCAATTATTCATACTGGATGTTCATGCACTTTTATGCTGTTTGGTATGCCAATATCATTAATGGAAATTATAATACTGGTGGAATATTTCTGTCTTTAGATACTAAGGAAATCAGTTGTTTCTTTTCTTCCCCCCCCCCCCCCCCCAGTAGTGGGGCCTCTACTCCAGGCCTGGGAGCTGTCCCTGGGATCTTTTTGCTCAAGGCTAGTGCTCTACCACTTTGAGCACAACATCACTTCCGGTTTAGGGGTGGTTAATTGAGATAGGAGTCTCATGGACTTTCCTGCCTGGGCTGGCTTTGAACTGTGATCCTCAGATCTCAGCCTCCTCAGTAGCTGGGATGACAGGCTTGAGCCACCAGTGCCCAACTATTTCCTGTTTTTATTAATGCTCCTTGATGCTTTCAGTTCATTTACTTATAAGGGCTTTATTTTTCTCCATTTTATGGGAAAATGTTTGTGCTATGTTTATTTACCTGTTCACACTTTCAAATACTAGGTCTTAAATTTGTTTCCACATAGTTTCATCTATTTTGCATATCATCTTTATATTCTGCCTTCTGTTTTCTTAACATCAGCTTTCAAAATACCTAGTGCAATGTTTAGCTTATGTAGTTTTTCATTTGTAACATAGAAAATGCATTTTGTGGTTATTGTCATTTATGTCTCATAATTTGAAAAAATTCGAATTTGCATCTATTAATATGGAAGCTAGATATAAAATACTCTGGGACATGATACATCAAACAGGACTCTAGACATTCACACACAGTGAGACCAAAGGAGGATATTCTTAGGGGAAGAACACAAAGGCGCAATGCCTATGTGCCTCTGATCATATGCAGTAATATTTATTGGAATGAACTCCAGGAAATGGAAGCAAGAGATTTTCCCCTTTGTTGTTGTTTTGGTTTTCTTTTCTTTTTTCCTTGTTTTTTTTTTTTTCATTAATCTGTTTTTGGGAGGGTAAGGGGGAGCACAGAAATGGAGGGACAGAGGGTGAACAAATGCAGCCGTGGTGCTCACTAGACACTATGTTAAAATGAACTATGCAACTTGTGGGTGGGGACGAGCAGGAAAAACTGGAAAGAGCGAGGGAAGGGGTAACGTTGTCCAAAAAGAAATGTCCTCTTTATTTGATTTATGTAACTATAACACCTCTGTGCATCACCTTTATAATAACAACAAAAATGAAATAAATAAAAAAGAACTAAAAAAAGAAAAAGAAAAGACTTATTCCCATCCTGAGTTCAGAGGAGGACTCTATATGAGCAGCAGAACCAAGCTGGAGCAAAGCCAGCTCCCCCTGGCATATAGCGACAACGGTGTAGACTAAATCTCTCCAAATACTGCTCCACAAATACTGCTCAAGGTCCCCATGAGTAAATGGTTGGGAGAAAAACCATAGAAATGATTATAAATAAACTGAGTGGCTCACGCCTGCAATCCCATCTTCCTCACGGTTACTGACATCTAGGGTCTGATGTTGGAAGCCTGCCTAGGCAGACAAATCTTTAAGACTCCTATCTCCCACCAGCCAATAAAAGCCAGAGTTAAAGGTGTGGCTCAGGTGGTAGAGCATCAACGATGAGCAAAAAGACCTAGCAGGAGTGTGAGGCCTGGGGCTGGGAAGGTGGCTCAAGTGGTAGAGCGCTAGCCTTGAGCTGAAGAGCTGAGGGACAGCACCCAGGCCCAGAGTTCAGGCCCCATGACCAGCAAAAAAAAAGTATGAGACCTTAGCTGGCATCTGCCTGCAGCTGATGCCTGTACTTCAAACTACTCAAGAGGCTGAGATCTAAGTACCAGAGTTCAAAGCCAGCCTGGGCAGAAAAAGTCCGAGTCTCTTATTTCCAATGAGCTACCAGAAAGCCAGAAGTGAGGCTGTGGCTCAAAGTGGTTGAGCAGAAGCCTTGAGCACAAAAGCTAACAGACAGCATCCAGACCCTGAGCTTCATGGCTGGGGGCGGGCGGAAAGAGTGTGAGACCTTGAGTTTGAGTCCCAGTACTGACACAAGAGATTATATATAAATTAAAACCAAGCAAGAAACTGAGCTTCAGTATTGCTCTCTACTGGGGCATATATCATCTTCACTGAGTATTTGTTTGGTCATCAAAAATAACTGAAGGTAGCATTCAGATAGCAGGACTGAGTTTTTGGGGGAATCTGGGTACTTTGGTAAAAATCACCTTTGTCCAGTCAGATCTGGAATAAGTCCAGTTGTGTGAAAAACAAAAACAAAAAGATAACTTTAGCTCTGTTGTGACAGGAAGGAATCCAGTATCCAGTCTCTCCATATTTCCTGCCCGCCCCCCTCCCCAGGGTTCCCAATTGGCCAAGCTACAGGGCCTATGACCCTTGGATTGGCCTTGGGAAGGGGTTTCAACTTGGCCTGTACTATATGGAGAAAGAAGGAAGCATTGGGCGCAGACGTAGGTAAGGTTGTTAACCAAAGTCCTGATGCATGTGGCGGCTACCACCTGTACTGCTTACCATCTAGGTAAGACATAAAACTGCAGAAAGGGCCTTGGTATCCCTGCTACCTGCAGTACAGTAGCATGGCCAGTAGGTGGCAGATAAAACCCACAATTGCTACTAACCTCACATAGAATTTCCTAACCACACACGCATATGCCCATGTATTCGCATGTGCGCGTGTGTATACACACACACACACACACACACACACACACACACACAGGGGTCTGGAGTTTCTCAATTGTGACAAGGGGTAGCAGTGGAAATATGCCTTATTTGCAGGAAGGACAATGACCTCAGGGAAGTCCCTCCTCGTATCCTACCTTCATAGGTGTGCACATAGCTTACTCCCAAACACTTGGGCCAGTTTAGTCCCTCCCATGATTCTCTTCCTTCTGCCCCTCACACCTCCCTTACCCAAGAGCTGACCACACTCATTTAGATTCCTCCTCCCCTTAACCCCCACCCTAGTCCAGTCTACGTCCCAAAGAATTCCAATTTCATCAGCCTATCCTGCAGTCTTCAGGGTCCCTCGCCCCTCGACATCTTTCTTTTCCACATCTTTCCCACATCTCAATGGCTGCACTCCCATTCCTCCCCCCTCTCTGAGGGCCACAAGACTGACAAGCGGCCCTTTGTCCCTTTCTGCGTGTGGCTAATGATCTTGATGGATGCTAGTTGTTGGGGGGGAGGGGAATTTCCTTCTTCACATTATAATTTTATGGGCTTGCTGCTAACGTGTTTGTTTGTTTAACTTGGGGATTAAAAATCCAGCCAGATAGAGGTTCTTGGTGGCATATACCTAACTTGTGAAGTTTTACTTTGTGCTGACTGGGAATCTCATATTTTGCCACCCACCACAATCTACTTTCCTTGGAAACTGCCTGTACTATATTTTTAAATATATATATATATTTCTATTGTGCATAAATGATCTTGATCTTTGTTCCAATTCCAACAGTGTGATGTAACTTGGCTCCTAAGAGGGTAAGAATTAGAATAAAGACAAACACTTCCGTCTTATACTGAAAGAATATTTTATCTGTAGATATAGATCTTTAGATTTTCTCCAGATAATTTTTAAACTGACAAGGCATTTCACAGTCAAAGAACAAACCCCACCACAAAGTTCACACACGAACTGTACCAGAAAAAAGGGGAACAACAGTTTCACTCAGCGATTCATTTCACAAAATATGCGCAACTCTGATAAAAAACATAACACTGAGGATACATGACAGCAAACCATACATCTCATTGACAAAAAAAAAATTACAGAGGCCAAAAAGTACCAAAGAGAACAGCAGCCAGTCCCAATGAACACCACATAAGAACGTACAAAAAGCTTTGGCAAGGTACACGATCAGGTTGAAAACTTCAAGTTCACATCACGTACCACAGAACTGGATTTTTTTTATGTAAAAAAACCCCAACAGGAACAGATTACCCCTTCCCCCTCCCCCCTATAGTCTCTCTGTGGCCTCTGGCCCTGGACCCACTGGAATGATGTCTCTCTGTAACCCATCTTAGCGGGGAGCCGTGCTGCTGCTGGGCTCCTCATCAGATTCATTGTCATCGCCCTCCTCCTCCTCCACCACCTCCACCTCCACCTCCACCTCCACATCCTCCTCATCATCACTGTCAAACTCTGCCAGCGCCTCCAGGTAATGGAAGGGCCAGCTCTGGGGGTCGATCCTGTGAAGTTTGGCCAGGAACCTCAGGACCAGCATCTTGCTGGTCTCAAGGAATGCCCGGGGCCCCCAGAGGAGTTCGTACTCCGCTGGCTCAGTGCAAGGGATCCTCCTGTACTCCAGGTACTTGTGCCTCACAAACTCATCCGTAATGAGCTTCCTTGCATTCCCAAAGAGACCGGTGGTCTCCCGGACATCCAGCCCTAGCCGGAAGAGAAAATGAAAGATCAGACTCTCCCGGATGCAGTTGCCTTTCATGAAGATGAGGCTCAGCACCACCATCAGAAGGCCAAACTTGGGCCTGTCTAAGCAGGGAGCCACAAAACCACCCTGAGCCTCCCCCAGCTTCTGCATGATCACATCGGTCCGGCTTCTGGCACAGCCGCCCTTTGACCGACCAAAGGCACACCCCCGCTTCATGGTGGTAGTGTCGTCCTCCTCCTCCTCATCATCATCAAAGCACTCGGGGTTGTATTCTCGGAGGACGACATTTACCATCTCCGAGTGCTGGATGGGCACCTGGACTTGGTCACTGACCAAGAGAAATTGCACCAGTGGATCTGTTCTCCTATCTGAGGGAGACAATGGCTCCAGTGCCCCGTGGCGACCCCTCTGGGTGGCCCTGGATCCCTGAGAGAGACAGAAGGCCTCACTGATTAATGGCAGAGAGCAGTGTGGGCCTCTGCAGTGACCTGTGGCTCTGGAGGTGCTGGGGCCATCCACCGCCCAGCAGGTGCTGGGTGGTTCCCATCCACTCAGGATCCTGGAGGTATTGTTGCACTCCCAACCACTTATGGCACCAGAGATGTAGGGGTAGTCCCCCAGAAGCTGGTCAGAGCCCTGTCCCTCCCAGTAACACACTCTGGGATCCTCCCCAGCTGGCAGGCCCAGGAAGTCACACATGGCCCCCCGGCGGCCCCCCCTGTCCTCTTTAGGTTCCAGATGCTTCTTCTTCCGTGTGGCTTTGCACGGGCGGCGTGGTGGCTCCACGGTCTTGGAGTCCTCCTGAGCAGGGGCAGCTGCCACTGCCGCTGCTGCTGCCGCAGCCACCACCGGAGGGACAACGGCTGTGGCCATCGGGACAGGGGCTGTCGCCATGGGGACGGTGGGCACCCTCTTGAATGCCCTCGGGGCATTCACCTGGGGTTCTGGAACCCACTGGACGGCAGGCAGGGGTGGCCCCATGCAGGCGTATGGCCCAGGCAGACAAAAGGGCAGTGGCCTGGGGCCCTCAGTGGTGGCCAGTGGGCCTGTGAAGGCATGAGGAGAGGCAGCCCGGTAGTAGGAGGTAGATGGAGAGACCCTCGGGGTGGCAATGCAGGTCTCCGAGGTGGCTGACCAGTTCCTCCAGGCAGGTGGCAGGTGTGCCCTGGAGACTGGCATCGCCCTGGTAGCACTGAAGGTGGCAGCAAAGATCATGCGATCTTTGGGAGGGCCCTTTTTCTCCTTCGAAGAGGTCCCACGTTCTCTAGAAGAGCCCCCGTGCTCTCTAGAGCTAGAGGCCCTAGATTCTCCTCCTGGAGTCATAAATGAGCTAGAGGCACCCCTGGGAAAATTTGTCGCCTCTAGGGGTCCTTCGGGTTCCCCCTGCAGCATGGGGGGTGACCCTTCCCAGGATGGTTGCAGTTGCACTGTTGGCATTTCTGCCTGCAAGCCCGTGGGCTCGGCCTCCTGGGAGGGTAGCCGAGTCTGCCTGGCTTTTTGGGGGTCCTGAGCCCCCCGAAAGGGCTGCTGCTCCAGCTGGACCATCACGGGGGCCTGCTCCTGGGCCTCCTGGGTGGGCAGAGGCTGCCAGAAGTGACTGGGTCCCTCCTCGGCCTGCTGCACCTCCTCGTACTCCAGCGACATGGGCAGCTCCTCTGGCACGAGGACCTGGCCTTTGGGGCCCTGCCAGATGATGGATGGGCAGTGCACGGCCTCGGGGGCCTCCTCTGAGGCCTCGTCCTCCTCCGAGCTAGCCTCAGGGTCAGCCTCGGGGTCAGGCTGTGAGACTGGCAGCACTAACTGGGCCGCCTGGGGGCCAACGGGCAGCACCACGGGTCCCTGCAGCGCAGGTGGCGGCCCCTGGGCCTGCTGGGCCAGCAGACGAGCCTGCGGGGCCTGCCGCAGGGGTGGGGGAGGCGGCAGGGTGTGCCAGAGCTGCGGCTGAGACGCCAAGGCCTGCGGAGCCGGCCGGATGGGCATCTGGCGGAGCAGCGGCGGCGCCTGGCGCATGGAGGGCGGGGTCTGGCGCATGCTCGGTGAGGCCTGGCGGCCCGTATTCTGGCTCTGCCGCATGCCTGGGGGTGGTCCAGGGCGGATAGGGGTAGGCCCGGAACGCATGGCTGGGGGGGGCCCCTGGCGCACCGGGGGTGGCGGCGGGGGTGGCGGGGGCGGCGGGGGGGCCTGCCAGGCGATGGCGGGGGCCTGCCACGTGACCTGAGTGGTATGCCAGGTCAAGGGCGTGGCTTGCCACGCCTGGGGCGGGGCCTGCCACCCAGGTGTGGTAGTTTGCCAGCCGGGGGGCGTGGCCAGCTGCACCTGGGGCGGTTGGGGCAGCTGGGGTATCTGAGGCAGTGGAGGGAGCTGGGGAACTTGTGGCGGGGCCCTGACGACCTGAGACTGGATTTGCAAGATCAAGGGCTGACCGTGCGGGGCCCAAGTGGCCAGTGACTGGGCCGGGGGAGCCACTGGTTGCGCCATGGGCGCTCCGGACACCGGCGGCTGGATGATGGGCGCTCTGCCGCCCTGGGGGATCATCATGAGGTTGGAAGCCGGAGGCTTGGCCAGCGGGGCTCCCAGAGGCGGCGGCTGGGCCATCGGCGCTCCTGGTGCAGAAGGATGAACCATCAGGACTCCGGGCGTCATCGGCTGGGCCATCAGGACTCCTGGCGCCGTCGGCTGCGTCATCGGCGTCCCGGGAGGCGGGGGGTGCACCAGCGGGGTCACCGGCGGCGGAGGGTGCACCAGCGGGGTCACCGGAGGCGGCGGGTGCGCTATGGGGGTCCCCGGCGGGGGCGGGTGCACCAGCGGGGTCCCCGGAGGGGGCGGGTGCACCAGCGGGGTCCCCGGAGGGGGAGGGGGCACCAGCGGGGTCCCGGGAAGCCCGGGGTGGCCCAGCGGGGTCCCCGGAGGAGGGTGGGACAGAGGGGTCCCGGGGGGAGGAGGGGGAGGGGGCGGGGGAGGCGGCAGCGGGGCCCCGTGAGCCGCAGACGGGTGCAGCATGAGGACTCCCGGCGTCGGCGGCGGCGGCGGCGGCGGCTGCGCCAGCGGGGTCCCAGGAGGAGGAGCCGGGTGGATCATCAGGACTCCGGGCGTCGGAGGAGGAGGCTTGCCCAGCGGCGGCGGCGGCGGCGGCGGCCCCGCGAGCTGGGCAGCGGGGACCAGCGGGGGCCCCAGGGCGGGCGGCTGGACCAGCGGAGACCCGGCCGCCGCCGCCGCCGCCGCCGCCGCGGCCGCCGCCGCCACCACCGGGGGCGCGGGAGGCAGCGGGGCCGGGGGAGGCTCCCAGGCGGGCTGGGGCGCCGGCCAGGCGGCCAGGGGCAGCGCCAAGTCCAGGGGAGGAGGATCCCACGGGACGGGGGCCGCCCGGGAGGAGGCGGGCGGGGCGCGCATCAGCACGGTGGGGCGGCTATAGAGCGGCGGCGGCGGCGGCTGCGGCGGCTTGGGCGCCTCCACCACCGCCACCACCGGCGCGGCGGCCGGCGGCGGGCTGGCGGCGTCCCCCAGGCCCGTACTTAGCTGCGACATGTCCCGAGGGTGGAGGTGGTGGTGGGGATGCTGGTGGGGGTGGTGCGGGGGGCAGGCGGCGGCCGCGCGCCGCTTCCTCCGACAGCTGCTGCTCGGCCTCTTCCTCCAGCGGGACCCGGCGGCCGCGGCGTAGGTCGTCGCGGCCGCCGCCCGGTAGCCGGCGCCTCCGCCTCCTCCCGCCGCTGCTGCTGCTGCGTGCAGAGACCCGGAGGAGCCGCCGCCGCGGTGGGGATGGTGATGGGGATGGTGCGCGCGGCCGGTCCCTCCGCAGATCTCGGCCGCGAGAAGTGGGAGGGCAGGGGGCGCGAGCCCGCCCCTTCCCCGCCCCCGACCACCTCTAGTGGATAGGACCGAGGGGCGTCGACCAAAGTCCTGGCTGACATGAGATCCTTCCTCATTTTCTCCGCCGCCGCCGCTGCCTCCGGCGCCGCCGCCGGCGCCGCCGCCGCCGCCGCTGCTGCTGCTGCTGCTGCCGCTGCTGCCGGTGCCGCTGTCGCCGGTGCCGCCGCCGGCGCTGCTCCCCGAGTGCGCACCGGTCAGCTGCTGCTGCTGCTGCTGCTGCTGGTGCTGCTGCTGCTCCATGGCTGGAGCGCTGCTCTGCCCGCTGTGGAGCGGCGGGCACAGATTTTATGCTGTGCGGGGAGAGGGGAGGGGGGACCCAAAAGAGGCCCCGCGTCGCAGGACGGAGGAGGCGCAGACCACTAGAAACGCGGGCGAGGAGCGAGGGAGGGGGAGCGAGGTGCGCTTTGAGCTCAGAAATGAGGAGCATTGACGTAAGAGCGGCCGGGGAGGGGGGCGCCGCGCCCCGCCGCGCCGAGGTTTAATGTAGGAGAGGGGAAAGGAAGGGGGGGCGGGGGGAGCCTTTAGGATTCTGGTCTTGAATAAAGTCAGAAGTTTGGTTTTTTCCCCTCCCCTTTTCCTGTCTCCCGCGCGCGCGCCCGCGCTCCCATCCAGGGGGAGATAAACTAGCTTTGAAGGGGATCAGAGACAGCCGGGCACAGCTGTGCTGCAGACATGAGCTTTCCTCTAACCAGTTCACACACACACACACACACACACACACAGGGATGGAGGAATCCAGTGGAGCACTTCATAAATAAATACGTATAATTAGATTATTAAGGTGTGTGCACAGGGGTTACCTTTCCACAAGTCAGATCATGAGCATGGTTTTTTTTTTGTTGTTTTTTTTTTTTCCTTTTGGATAATGTCACCCTTTCCATGGCGTTCCTCTTCCTCCCTCCTCCTGCTCCCCTCCACACACACACACACACACACACACACACACACACACACACACACACACACACACACACACACACACACACACACACTTGCCCATAATTAGCTGTTCTGCAGGAACACAGATCCGGGAGCATGAAATGAGGGCCCTGCAGAAGAGATGTATGTTTAGTGTAAAACTCCTTGTGGAAGAATATTGGCAGAGACAGGCAGAGGGGGCGCGGGGGGGAGAGCACAGCATAGCGCCGATAGGAAGGAAAGGAGTGGTGGATTTTTATTTTTTTTAATGTGTCAGAAATCAATGACAGTCAACCAGCCTGTGGAATGTGAGAGCGGAGGGAATGAATGAGGGAGAGAGGTTGTTTTCAACAGGCACACCGAAGAAGTGCACAGAGAAGAGGGGAGGGGGGGGAAATTAAATGAGTGGAGGAAACCAACAGATCCAAACAGATAGAGAGGAGCAGTAGAAGAGGGACCAAAAAAAAAAAAACCCACCAAATTTCCACAGAAATCTACTTGATGGCTAAAAATCAGTTTTTAAGTCAGAGAGGTGAACAGATGAACAGATAAAACAGAAGCCATTTAAGCCATTGCGAAACTGCGAACTGCTTTCTGCCCAGAATGAAGTGACACAGTTTAGCTTAGTTTTTTGGGGGGAGCTTTCTTGGACATAGGAAGTAATAAATATTGAGAATGTTTCCTGTGGAAAGAGGCTATCAATATTGGCCTGGGGCAAGAGTCCAGAGTGAGAAAAATAAAGCCACAAGGGGGCAGAAGAGAATGAGGAAGGTTGTACCCCACTCCTAACTGACCCTTAGTATTGCTCAAATTGGGGGAATGAATGGATCAATAATAGAAGATACAGTACAGGCTCCCAATGTTACCAGGCTGTAGACAAGGAGAGAAGAATTTGGGATCAGGGTAGTATTTCCGTGATTTCTTGGCCATCGAAGAGATGTTTTCATTCTAGCAACTTCTTTCTAAAACTATGTGGCTCCCCCCCACACACACCCCCTCCCCTGATGATATGTCATTTCTGTGAAGAGCTAGACAAGGCTCTCTGGACCCCCAAAGCATCTAGAGTTGGTACCACTGTGTTTCACTCCTTGAAGCAGTGTTTTTGTTTTTGTAGTCAGATCCATGCAGAACTTGACTGTTGCATAGAGGCGATAACTTAGGGAACATCAATTCTAAATACATAACCTTACATTACCATCTTATCATCGCTGCCACATGGGCATTTATAACAGAGGATGGGTTGGAGGAGAATTCGTTTAGTTTTCAATGGCAGTTAAAGCATGCTTTTTTTTTTCTCTCTCTCTCTCTCCTACTCTGTCTCAAATGCATAAACTCATCAGTGATTAAGTTGGCCCACATATTGTGACAGATTTGACTTTTAATGAACCGTGCTGTGAGACATCCACGCGATCATTTGTTGCTAATAGGACCCGGGTACTTAGTACTGATAGCGCTCAATGAATAGCTCTCCCCCGCAAATCCATTCTGCGAAAAGAGCTCCGTTTATACCATCCAGCAACACAGGAGCCATAAGTAAAGGATTAGGAATTATTGGAGGAAACAAAGAAAAAGATGCAGGCGTATTTACAAGTGAAAGATAAACAATTCATAATTAGCAACGTGGGCTTTTAGAGAACAGTCTTGAATGAACTGGGGAGAGGAAGTGTGGGGGGAAATAAAAGGAATTAAGCATTTAGTGTTTGTGGAGGTGTTAATAAAAGGATGCACATCATATTTATCCTCTTTGGAAAATATATATCTTTTAATGCTCTCAGTCACAGGGAATTTGAGAGGTTCAATGTAGCTATGATTTTGTTTACACCCCCCCCAAATCTCACACACACACATACACACACACACACACACACACACACACACACCAGGAATCAAGAAATATACAGCCCCCTGTGTGAAAAACAATCCAACTTTAAAAACAACAAAATCCAGTCCATCCTGAGATTAGAGGGAAAATTTGAACCACAAATCCTAAATAGGTTTCCCCAAATCACTGCCTTTCTTGTGGAACTTTCTAATTCCCCATCGCTCTTCTATGTACATAGCTTTACAGTTCAACCGATCTGAGCACATATTGTCAAGATTTTCTTCCCTTTGCTCCTCTGTGAGAGAGCTTGAAAATTCAAGGTTGGTGTGGAGGGGCACCCCCAAAACAAAAACAAATGTAACAAATACAGAACATTTAGAGAATATTGGCAAATCTGTCCTCTCCTTACAAAAGACTTTTCAGTCATTTACTTCAATAAATTTACTTTAGTGTGCAAGGTAACTAAAAAGAATCAGAGGGAAAACAAAGTCTTAAAAATCATAGGAATAAGGAAATGGTTGATTTGAATGCAGTCTGGGGAATTGGCTCAGTTAGCTGATTGCATCTTAGTTCATATTGAGGGGCCGGTAAGAGGCTGTTGAGCGAAACTTTGTGATCAACACAGGATTTTTTTTTTTCACTCGTACACAGGTGTTAGTCCTGGCATAGATGTTCACGTAAGATAAGAAATTATGGTACTCACAAATTCTCAAGTCATATTGATGAAATGCCTTTTATTTTTTTAAAAAAAGAAAACCTTCACTCGATGTCCATTTTCCTTCTTCAAAGAACAAGCTGATGCAAGATCTTATTGTCTGTCCCATAGAGACATGAATATGGCAGTTTTTACTGCAATAAGTTGCTATGGTTGCATTATTTAAAATCCACATTGGTCATCGTTGATGCACATACAACTGAGCGGTCGCTTCTGCCTGGAACATGAGTGGTACGGGACTGTCATGCTGATTGCAGCAATGAAAAGGAAAAAAAAAATCCAAAGCTCTGAAAGACCCTTGAGTGTTCCCTGAACAGGCAGGCTGAACAGGAAGACAGACCAGGCACAGGAGACATCAGAAATAATATTTTAAAAAAGGTATTTGAAAGAACGCCATTAAAACGGTGAAAGTATATGTATTGAATAACTATTGTTTGATAAAATACCATCCCCAGAGCTTCATACACTGTATTGATGCATTCTTTATAAAAATCCATAAGCATTTGGCCTTATTTTGCATATGTCAAGAATTTAGACTCAGAAGGTTAATTAACTTGTTTAAGATTTGGCAATAGATAGCAAAATCCCAATTTATAACCCCATCTGTTTGGTTGCCAAACCTTTTTAAAAAAAATTAGATGTCATTATCATGCAATAAAATGTACAAATTTAAAGTGCCATGTGTAATAAACTTTGCCATTTAGCCACCAATATGAAAAAGAAGATAAATAAGATCTTTGTTACCAACATTTTCCTTTGCCTTTATTATATTGAAATTATTGAAAATTCAACATCATCAGATTTGTCTCACCATCAATTTTATTTTTCTGGTCTCATTTTTTTACACAATAAAACCAGTGTAGTATATGCTGTTTTATTTTGTTTTTGTTTTTTCCACACTGTGTGTCTAGGGTCCTTTGTTCAATGTATATTTTGAGAAGTTAGCTTGCAACAGGTATTAGAAGTTAGCAATGTGTTAATTCAGAAAATGATACCATTTTATTTAAAATTCTACAGTGTGTTTAACACTTTTGACATTTAAGATATTCTCAATTTGGTGCTATTAAGAAAAAAAACAATTGATTGGAACATTCTTTTGCGAGTCTTGGTTAACATATGTTTTCATTTATCTTAGGTTAACAACAGGGATTGAACGGCCAGGGGAAAGGTTCAAGGTGTTTGTAAGAAACTGCGACTATCTCC